GACTGAAATATATATATATATATATATATATAAGAAGATATACGCAGTTATATGAAGGTACTAGAGGATATGAGATGCAAATACCCATCCTGAAGTCCCAATCCAGAGTCTGCTTCAGTTCAGAAACAGGTTTGGAGCAGTGGCCTAGTCATGATGATCTAAAGAATGTCATAGTTTCATAGTTAGGGGCCCTGAGCAGATCCTCAAGTCCAACCCCCTGCCATGGGCAGGGGCAGGAAAGAGTGCTGGGGTCAAACAACCCGGCTAGGTGATTATCCAGCCTCCTCTTAAAGACCCCCAGGTTAGGAGTGAGCACCACTTCCCATGGAAGTTGGTTCCGGGTCCTATCTGCCCTGACTGTGAATTAGTGCCTCTTGATGTCCAGCCTGAATCTACTCTCCATCATCTTATGGACGTTATTCCTTGTTACAACCAGTAGTGCTCAGGGGAACAGGGACTCTTCTATTGCCTGCTGGTCCCCCTAGGCAAGTTTTTAGATGGCCACCAGTTCCCCTCTCAGCCTTCTCCCATGGAGACTGAACACGTTCAAGTTCTGTAGCCTCTCCTCGTAGGGCCTACCCTGCTGCCCCCTGATCATGAGGGTGGCCCTCCTCTGGACCCTCTCCATGTTGGCCACATCCCTCCTGAAGTGCGGCACCCAGAACTGGACACAGTACTCCAACTGAGGCCTGACCAGCGTCGTATAGAGGGGGAGGATCACCTCCTTGGATGTGCTCGTGATGCATCTGTGGATGCGTGACAAGGTGTGGTCAGCTTTACTGACTGTGTTCCCACATTGGTGACCCATGTTCATCTTGGAATCAATAGTGATTCCAGGATCCTTTTCTGCCTGTCTGCTGACAAGAACAGAGTTCCCCAGTCCGTAGGTCTGCTGCTGGTTCTTTGTCCCCAGGTGCAGCACCTTGCACTTGTCAGTATTAAAACCCATCCTATTCTCATCCGCCCACCCCTGTAACCTGTCCAGATCTAGATGTAACCTGTCCCTCTCTTCTAGCATGTTCACTTCTCCCCATTTCTTAGTGTCATCCGCGAATTTGAACAAGGTGCTTTTCACCCCCTCATCCAAGTCGCTGATGAAGATGTTGAACACTGCGGGCCCGAGGACCGAGCCCTGGGGAACCCACTGCCCACACGCCTCCAGGTTAAAAACGACCCATCCACCACCAGGAGATGAGCTGACTAATGGGTGCAATGTTCCCAGTTGCAACATTGCAAACTCATTTACATGGAGGTAGAGTTTAGTTTGCAATGATGCCAACTGATTTAAAACCCACAAAACTTGCATACATGTGATATGTGAAGCCATTAAGCCATACAAAAGGGAAATCTTTAACCCGTGTACAAGTGCCCTAAGGTGCCACTCTCCCATCCCTCTGGCTATGGGCTGTAGCCCACAAACCACATAGAAAACACTCCCTTTAAGAATGCTAAGAGGACTGTAGATGTGTGGAGCAGCAAGAAGTTATCAGAAGAAACTACAGAAGAATAAAAGAGCTGTTGAAATAAATAACCCAATTATATAAAAGAAGTCATAAGAGTTTTGCCTGACAAATCTACATTCACTATGAGATAACAAATATAGTTTTAACTCCACTATGTAAATGAAAACATTCCCTTAAAAGGAGGGAGAGAGAGAAGGGTTGTTGGTTGAAGCCAAGTAGGTCTAAGGACCTAGGCAGACAAGATTCTTTGGGTAGGTGTAATATATTTATTTACACCAACTAAATAGTTGGAAACATTGTCCTATGCAAGCTTTTGGGCACAAACACCCTTCTTCAGGCATAGGGAGAGTCTAGTGGCATTGTGTGTGCTCCCCTGGGTAGAAGAAGAAAGAGAGCAGTAAACCTGTGAAAGAAATAAGTCCTCAGAAGTAGATAGAAAAGAAACAAAGGACAGTTGATGTGGACACAAGTATGTAAAAGAAGTCAGTATTTTATCCGGCCAGTAACTTAAGATGTCGCCGAATCATTCACAGACGAGAGGAAGAACACTGTGCCCAAAACTAGTCTGATATCCCCCGCCACCCTCCCAAACATACAGTTGTTGCAATAAGAGATATTACAAAACAAACCTACGCTTGGAAGGAAATCTCTTTTCTGGCAGCTTTTTAATCATCTTAATCAGTTTAAATTTATTGTGCGCAGACTGCACAATTACCATTGACTCGTCTGCTAGATTCATTTTGCTTCTTGTATTATTCCACTACAACCAAAGATTGCCAAGAGCATTTGGGTGCCTTGTTTTTTCTTAAGATGCTCAAGTTCATTATTTATATAGCACTGAGCCATGCTCCAAAAAGCCAGCTACATGGATGGAGCAATGCATCTTCTACTTGTGGCACTCCAGAAGGCTACAAGAGTGCTGTGTTCAGATCTCTGCTCCACTATGAGGACGAGTAGCTTTGTCTCTTGACTCCTATGTAGGCGTGTTCTGGGGAGGACTGCTTAAGTTCCTGTCTGTTGGACCCTTCCACTATGTATAAATAACTAAATATGTACTGGTACACAGAAAGGCTGACTGCAGAGCTCAGTAATTTGTACACTCATGTAAGATATAGAATCACAGAAAGAAAGAGCTAGGGGGACCTTTGGAGGACATCTAGTCCAACCCCCTGCTCAAGACAGGTACATCCCAATCCAAACCTTCCCATACAAGCGATTCTCTAGCCTATTCCTAAAACTCCACAAACAACCATGTCCCACAACTAAAAGGGACATAGTCCATGGACATCAAGAACCCCCTAGGCTGCCACAGCTAAAGCAGGGGGATGAGGGCAGTGTCAGTATCCTGCCAGTGCAAGGATGTTAAATACACTCAAGAAATCCAGGCAAGAGGATCAGGCCACTTGCCCACCCTTCCCCGCTCCTCCCCCACAAAAAGAAGGGAAATGAACCCATAGTCTGTATGTATCTTATTGTGGGATAAAATTCCTCCCTTCCCCCAGATGTGGTTGTTGGTCTGATCCTGAGCCTCAAAGTTGGCACACCCCACTCACAGTCTCCTGCCTTGGCTGTAGCCAATACCCAATGCATCTGAGGAAGGCAAACGAAAACACACACACACACACACACACACACACACTAGAGGCATGTGAAGTAGGCCTTATTCAATTTGGATTTGGCCGGAATCAGGGATAGGTGATTTGATTCGTTGATTTGGATCAACGTTCCCAATTTGATTGAGCTGAATCCAAATCTGAAGATCGTGAACACCACAACGCTGGGGTGCATGGAGCTTCCCACAGAAGTTCAGGTCCTTCCGGTCCGCTTCTGGGTCTGCTGGGAGTGTGCTGGGCCCCCTCCCCTTACCACCATGGCTCAGCAATCAGCCATGGGGAGACCCTCAGTGCCCCCCCAGACACAGGACACACCAGTCGCTGAGCCACGGGTATGCAGGGGGACCCCCCTGTATGCTCCCCAGTGGACCTGGTTGGACCCACTGGAAGTGCTGCTTCCTTTGATTCAATACGGATTTGGAGATTTGGCCACCAAACTGAATCAGGGACCGAAGCTTCACAGTCCTAACACACTCACCCTGACACCTCTGGCAACAGGAGGAGGAAAGATTGCCTCCTGCCTCATATGGCAACTAGCAAAGCATAAAATCCTCTCCGTGCTGTTCTGCAACCTACGGACAGCAAATGACTCCATATCAGTAATGATGGTTCAGGTTCCTCCATCAATACATTTAGGCATTAAAACAAAGGTGGGGTAGCTCCATGGAGGAGAAAGAGAAAGACCCATCCTTCTGTACCCAATAGGCTGAAGGTTAGTGTGCACACCTTGGATATAGGCAGACAAGGTTCCTTGGGTGAATTTGATATCTTTTATTAGACCAACCCAAATAGTTGGAGAATAGTTATTAAGCAAGCTTTTGAGTTCAAAAACCCTTCGTCAGGCTAAGTATGGAATCCAGGAAGAGCACACACCAACTGCTGAAACTCCCTTAGCCTGACGAAGGGTTTTTGAACTCGAAAGCTTGCTTAATAACTATTCTCCAACTATTTGGGTTGGTCTAATAAAAGATATCGAATTCACCCAAGGAACCTTGTCTGCCCATGTCCATGGAAGCATTGCTGGGTGCAGCATGGAGGTGGTGTCGACATGCCCTAAAACACTGAAGGCATGAG